AGGCAGAAATAGAAGTGGCTCGCATTCAAACCCACAAACTCAGTTAGAAACAAGCTTTGTAGGTCAAAGGATCCAATGGAACCAGTTAAACAAAACAATTAAGTTTATCTAACACCCTGCCTGCAGTGATTGTCAGGTAAAATACATAGGTCAAAGTAGTAGAACAGGTGAAGTCAGATTAGCATAGCATAAAAACCTAGCAAAATCTAGATTAGTTGACCAGAATAAGATAAGAAATTTAGAGAATAGTTCAGCCATAACACTACATACACTTATATGGATGGGATAAGATGACAGTTTTAAAATCTAATGTAACAGGGTGAACGGAGAGATTGATGTCAACGGAAGCTTTGTTTATCGAATCAACTGCTAACACGTGTAATAGGAATGATTCAACACCTGTCCCTAATATGGAATTACTTACTACCACAGAGTCTGAGTTTTACACACATATTCATATGGGATAATCACTTGCTTAAGAAAAGTGAAAGTTGGATAATTTTGTGATCGCTAACTAATAAGTTGTACAATAACACTGGGGAGTTCAACCTTATCAAAAGAAGCAGTAAAAGATTATGCAACCGAGTGAAATGAAGAGCCAAGAGTTTGTGTTACCAGTGCATAAGAAGACTAATAACTGCCTATTTATGACCACATAAATCCGGTTTCGAACGTTTGACGGTGTCACCTTCATTAAAAGCTTTCAAAATGTCTTCCTCACTGCATAAGACAGAGAGATGCCTGGAGATAGCGCCATCGAAACCATGTGTTCCTTTGGAATGTATACTTTTTGATATATGTTCAGAGAATCTAAAGTGTGACTGATGAATTTTCTCGAAAAGGATGCTGTTACTTCAGTTGTCAATAGAAATGATGTTTCACAGTGAATTATTACTAAATATTCTTACTTCTTTCTTTAGATCGTACCACAAAACAAAGATTGTCTACAGAAGGTTTAAGAGCTGAATACGATGTTATGTATGGATGGGAATTTGCTGATGCTACTGGCCGATCAATTGACTCCAGTTTATTCGCTGACAGTGTATCCATCGATTCAACTGGCAGTCTACGTTTAAGAGATTTAGTAGCACCGAATCGTGGAAATTTACCCTATAAAATACGTTGTGTTGCTGTAGTCAGTAAACGTCCAAGTACACCGGAAGAGAAACCTGGTCCATCAAAATCATATAAATCTGATTACTTTGGATTAGATATTAAACGGCCGGATGGTACATCGACGAGAATTATTGGTGGTAAAGTTGACAGTAAGTTCATTGTGAAGGCTTGTTTTATTTAATTTTCATTAAAGTTCTCGATATCTAAATATTCACTAGGTTTATGAAGCCTAGAAAGCGGGAAACAAAGGTTCTTAGTTGATGCCGTTTCAGTGTGATTATTGGGTCGGGTGATTAGTCCTGGTGTGATCACTCAGAATTCACTGTGTTAATTAGTATTTCAATATAAATTTCGTCAAGAATCAACTTCTGTTTCACCCTGGCTTGGGACTTTTCAACAGGTACTGAACTCAAAACCTTGACGTTATGATGACCAAGTCGTTGATGATTCAGCCAATTGGGCTGGAAACATAAACTTTAGCTTCATAATTACCATGATAACCTAAACTGACAAACAACGAATCAGTTTATCCTTTGAAAAAGAACACTATTTTGTGTCGCCACCATGTTCTATTTGCATCTATGTTTTCTATCTGAATGCATGTTTCGTTAGTAACAGGGCATCATATTGATTGGTTAGTCAGTTTGCAACAGTGGAAGTGTTGGCCGCTGCCTGAAATGCAGGACAAATACAGTTGGAGAATTATTCGAGCATTGATTTGTAGAGAGAGATTTGATTGACTGGTCACAGGATTTCATCATGAGCTGATATTGGTTAGGGAACCATCTGAAAACCACCATGTAGTACTTGACAGGTGTCTCGTCCCAGTGTTTTGCGCTCTTCATCAGCACGCACCCACCAGGGTTCAAACCCAGGACATCTGGTTACAAGGTGAGCTAGCAAGTAGACTATTAAGCCACTGGAACCTGATCCAGTAGCCAGCCCATGAATTCCAACTTCTGCCAATTCACAACGTAGCGCGACCGTTAGCGAATGTCATCTGTGGTGAGTATTTCTCCTCAAACCCGACCTCCTGTATCCCACTGCCAGTGACGACTTCCCACTAGAATCTCAGGTAACTACCTACCTGAATTCCGGTTGGTGCATACTAATGAAGAGTCCCAAACTAGAACGAAACGATTGTCCACTACTCCCTTTTAGTTTTCTAATGGTTCTCTAACCGATTTCAGCTCACGTTGAAATCCTGTGACCAATAATTGAAGAATGTTGAATATTATAGATTTATGTACTTCGCATGAACTTCCAATGCTAGGTTAGGGTAAGTTGGTTCAGTGTTAGGAATGAGTTTATTTAAGGGTAGACACTTTGCTGGATAAAATCTTTTCCCTTAACTCCTGTTATGATGAAGTGTTACTGGGTTGAGGATTCACCTAACTTCACTAGAATGCGCCTCCACACACGACATTATAATCAACCGATCACCTGAAAATATCCCTCATGCTGAGACAGGCACAACGGCAAATTCATCCGTGACAACAACACAATCGTTTATTAGACAAAATACATGGTAACTCATATTCACCAACCCTCAGGAATTTTAGTCATAAAATAAAAGAGTCAAAAACTATCCAATGAGGTTATGATGTCAATGCATGCATAAACCATGAATTCATTAGTAACAAAGAAGCTTGTCCGTCGTAACAATTCCCGAACAGCATTCATTTTCAATAATAATATTATTGGTGCGACCGTTTGGTTATTATCCTATGGATTAGTTTCGCCAGAAGCTCGTCGGATAGAGTACTCTTACGCTAAAACCACTTAACTGATATTCATTATTCGTTCAGTAATATTAGCTTTCTGAAATTAGCGTGTTTCTTGGCATTATCAAGCTTTCTATTGTAATATTGATCATATGAATAAAATAGCGTATGCAGTTCATGTTGGTAGATTATGATCTAGAAGTCCAATATAAAAATGATGCGTAGGAGAAATGGAAAGTAGAGACGACAATGAAAAGCGTGGATATCATAGAAATCACCTTTAATGTGACTAGAACATGGTTATTAGTGTGACTCATGCTAATATTTCCTTAAATGTAAACAAGTATAATCTTAATTGAATATGAATTCAGATATAATTACAAGGTAGGCATAATTATCACCCCCAACACCAACAAACTGGCTTCACTAATCATCTATAATAAGCCTACATGTTTTTTTTTCTTCACGTCCCCCAGTGGAACATAGGGCTTCAAGCTAGTGGCTTGAAGTTTCTGTAGCAGTGTTTATTATTTTACGGGATGGGGTTGCTAGCCTCATGCCCAACATTTCCTCTTCACCAGCATTATTTCTGGCTTAGCGAGGTAAAGGAGTGCGTCGGCCGGGGACCGAACCCCGGACCATGTGCATGGTTGGCGAGCGTCCTAACCGCTATGCCACCGACGCTAAACAGCCGAAGCAAGCCTACATGACTACGTCAAAATTTTTTTAACCATTCAGAGACACTTGATTGGCCGTTTATGTGATATTCGTGCTATTCGACTTCTGTTGGACTGACATACTAACTCCATCTTACAACAATATTCTGATGTGGTTGTGTTAGTTAGTTAATTTGCGGCAAGGATCTAGCAGAGAAAAATTATCCTTTCTCCACGAGTGCCTTCGTCATAAAATCCTATCAACCAATGTCAGATATAAACCACCAGTCAGCTGCCCAATGGGATGGAAATTGGCCGAACAATGTGGAAGACGAGTGGTCAAATTATTGATTACAGACGCACATTATCGGATAAACAAATATCAACAAATAATAAATGTCCAAAAAGAAAAACTAGAGAAAACCCTCAACCAGGAACACCTGTCAACGCTCGTCACCGCAATTACATTGTCAAGTAGAAAACACAGAGAACAAAGATGAAGAGTCCTCAAAGCCAAGCTAGCTAAGATTAGAAAACACGGAAATTAACTATCCAGCTCAGAGAACCCAACCACATCAAAATCATCCACCGGAGCTACAAATCTTCGCCATCATATCTATAACAATATTCATTGTATTGAAATGATAACTTGCAGGGATTTGATTGTTTATAGGTTTCCATCATGAGCCGACATCGATTAGAGAACCGTTGGAAAACCACCAAGGAGTACTGGACAGTTGTTTCATCAGCCTAGTTTGGCACTAACTGCTCACCAGTAAGCACTCATTGTTTCCATGGTTTGAATCCAGGACCTTCTGGTTACAAGGCGAGCTCGTAACGCATTCAGCCATTGGGACCCGATCTACTTTTACCAGTTCACGACATAGTGCGACCACTAGCGAATGCTATCTGTGTCGAATATTTTTCGTCACACCTGGGCTGCTGTACCCCACTGGTCACAGTTTCACACTAGGACCCAGGTAACTACCTACATGAATAGGACCAGACGCTATTAAACATCAGATTAATATTCAGACAGTCATTCTAGTTCAAATGAACTGTCGTCAAGATTTGACAGAATAGTTCTAAAATATTTGGGCACCGAGTGAGAAGTAGACATTTGTAAAAAATTATATTTGTAAAATCTAAGCGACATTGAAATGAGTAATTCTAACGTTTCGTTCTGCAATCTGGTTCGAACTTCTTCAGGGAAATTAATCGAAGTTAACAGAGGTTTATATATAAAAGGAACATCATTTGTACAAATGTCTACTTCTCACTCGGAGCCCAAATATTTTTGAACTATTCTGTCAAATCTTGACGACAGTTCATTTGAATTATTTTGCTATCGAATTAAATTAACAGAGAAACTGTGTAATTGGAACAATCATCGTGTTTTCACTCTCCGTTGTCTGCAACAGAATGCATATCCGTAGCTGCCGAGTCACCTGACAACTCTAGTAGGTCGAATAAAGCAGCTCAATCTTCAGAAAGAAGACAATGCAATAAGTCCGACAGGGTGCTTACAGTAAACTCTAATCCTAAACACCATTATTTTGAAAATACGTCTAATCATAAAATTCTAGATACTAACAGTTTGAACGGACATGAAGGCGTGATGTTAGCTGATACATAGGAAATCCTGATTAATAAATAAAAATGGATATGTATCACTAATTATTAATACTTGGTCAAAATTCTCGACTGTCCATATCTTCTTATGGAAACGTTAAGAAATGTTTTACAACTGTTTACCCACACACACATACACACACTGTTTAAAGTGTTTAACAAAGGTAGACCAATATTTGTAAGTCCGAGGTCGAATTTCGATCACAGCTCATACAATTTTGTTTATTATACATGTTGAATGACTCATGATTGGACAAACTTTTTAAAAACAAGTGATGTGCCTTTTATATATTAACCTCCGTTATGTTAATTTCGATTAATTTCCCTGAAGAAGTTCGAACCAGATTGCCGAACGAAACGTTGGAATTACTCATTTCAATCTCGCTGAGATTTTACAAAAGTTATTCTAGTTGGCTGGATGTACTTTAGAACCTAACAGTGTGTGACTGAATAATCGTGATTTGAATTAGGGCTGGTTTATTTTCATTATGTTTAAATTTAAAATATTGAGTAGGAGTGTTGTAAGCGGTTGATGTGAAATCTGTGCTCACATAATTTACTAAATATGTGATCCTCATGGAGGAACTTATCGTGATCAATTGTGATCGTTATGTGAAGACGGTAAAATAGTTATTGGTTGACGTGTTGAATGGAATGTGATTTAGTTACACTGTGGCGAGCATTCACACTTTGCGTTGATAATGATAATGTCATAAAGGATAAATTGAGTCTGTTATTAATAATGAGTACTATTCTGCACTGTCCTCTTGTGAAAGAGAAGAGAAGAGGAATCCGAGAGCAAAATCACACTTTTGAAGGTCTTAGTCAAGAGAACAACTACGGGAGAATTAGAAACCCAAGTTTATAGAAAATCAACTCACACAGACCGAATACCGAATTACAACAGCGACAATCTAATAATACACAAAAGGAATTGCATACAAACACTATTCAAGAGGGCCAGGACTCATTGCAGCACTCCCAACTTAAGCGGATGCCCGGCGCTCTTCACCGGGTTGACTGTCTATTGGATGACAGTCTAGGGGAGATGGCTAAACCCTGATTCCAAACCTCCAACGACTGGCGTATGAAACTCACTGGAGCTCACCGGCAGACGTATGGACAAAGGGCTTGTTGGATTTCCTGGATGTCTAGCCCCATTCAAAAAGGCGTATGAAGCGAACTCCGGTCACCGGCTGCCAATGGATAGTGGACTCCCTACTCCACTCCTACTGCCTTGTAGGTCACACTTGGTTGTGTAAAGGCTAGAGCTGCACTCTCAAACAAAAGGCCGAGCGATTCTGGGGACATCACTCGTACCAAATTCCCATGAAACTTCATGAACTCTCTTCATCAGATCGCCGCGCCTGGGCAGCGATGATTCGAGATGTTCATGAAGCCGGCTCATCCTTCCGTAGGAGATAGCCGAAGTAGAGAGAGAGAGTCCCAACTTAAGGAAAATTGAAAAGAGATATCTCATGAACGTCTTCCAAAAGAATAGATATCCACGGAATTTCATCAAAAGACATCTACTCTCAAGCCAACCTATCAAACCAAAAACCCCTAAGGAAAGCAAAAAGAAAATCGCCTTACGTCTGGACGTCTCAGAAACCACTGCAAGACTCTTCAAACCTTTAGGAATTGACGTCGCACACAAACCAACAAAATCACTTCACTCAGCTCAACAGCGAAAGAAGAGAAGGTAGAACCAACATCATCTAAAAAATAAATTATAGCAACTGCAAAAAGACACTACATTGGCCAAAGTGGACATCCCCTTCATCTTCGTATCCATGATCATAAACTAGCTGTCAAAAGACATGACATCCACTCCCTCATATCACTGCATACAGACAACCACGGACATCAAATCGACTGGGACAACCAATGTTCAAATATTAGACAGGGGAAACACCAAAATTGCTAGAGAATTTTTAGAAGCCTGGTATTCCAGTGAATCATCAATCAATAGACACATTGAGATAGACAAAATTTGCCAATCGATAAGAAGGAAATCTCACACACAAAGGGTCAAAGTTCAAGTCAAAGAAACAATCAGTTCCAACATAAGTAACCTAGAAGGTGTCAAAACACACAAAAACAACCAATCACGTCCAAGGTCACCAGGAGAGATGATTAATAAACTCGTGGAGAAATCTAAAAGCTCACTTCAGTGAACTGAAGTATGCGCTGAAGATGTCACCTAGTAGGGCGATGAAAGCTTTGCAAATTAACTATCCACCTCAGAGAACACAACAACATCAAAATCATGCACCTGAGCTACAAATCTTCTCCATAATATCTGGGAAAAACGGAGTCTGTAAATAATAGTGAGTACTATTCTGTGTGCCGATAAAAGCACTTCCAACAGCCTCCTGAAGACTTTTATCAACAACTGATGGTCAGATGGCCGGCCAGAAAATATATGTAATAAGAAACTCCAGCGGTAGACCAGCCAACAACCTAAGGCTGAAAAGATATGCAGAAGGAACCGAAGATGGATTAGACATACGCTGAAGAGGACATCAGTTTCATTGTGGCTTCAGATACGCGTTGCTGAAAAGTTGAACGGGCAGAAAACCTAGATTCAAGGCTTCCTGCTAACTGGCTCCTACCTTGTTAGTATTAATTTAAAGTGTACCACGATTACAAGTTACCCATACTGGTGACAATACTCCTGAATTCACTGACTGACAGAATTCAGTCAGTATCCAGTCTAAAGATTGGACACATGGTTTAGGTTGCACTCGAGTAAATAATCAATGTATATCACACGTCTAATGTACATAAATTGCATCTCTCATCCTTTCCTTTAATGTTTTGCATTTTTTCCTCTTCATATTTTAGTTGCTGGAAACTTAGTCAAAGTGAAGATTGAAGGTTTAAAACCCGATGGGACATTTACCACACAACTTGGTGGAAATGCTACCATTAAATGTCTTGCTATTGGTATGTTAAACGTCTTTCCATTGCTATTGTTGTTGTTGTTGTTTTTTCTGGACATTTCATGCAGTTGAAAAGTACAAGTACTGAAGGTTGTACCAGTGACAACTGTTTCTGACTTTACTATCTAACTCTTTTTTCAGCTTTAATTATTGATAATTTATTCGTTTTCAGGCAACCCAATCAAATTCTGTTAATCTCAGCTAAGAGTCACTTTCATAACCTATAGATTCGAAAATAATTACAAGTATATAGCTAATTCCCGGATAGTGTGTCGGATGGTTCAATAGTAGGGTGCTTACCAGACAAACAGGACTCCAGGTGAACATAGACAAGACGGAGGTTATGAAAATAACCAACCAACAAACAACAACAACAGCAGCAACATCCAGCGCCAATCACCATCAACGGGAGGGAGCATTGTCTCAACTACAGGAGGAACGGACGAGGATGTCAAATCGAGAATCGAGAAGGCGAGAAACATATTCATCAACCTGAAACCAATCTGGAAATCTTCGTCACTCAACCCAGCCAGCATCAACAACAAAATCCGGATTTTCAATACAAACGTCAGTCAAGTCAGTTCTTCTATACGGATGGATCAGAAACTTGGCGGGTCACAAAGAATATTTCCAACAGCCTGTTGCAGACCTTTATCAACAACTAACTGTCTTCGCTCTATACTTAAGATCAAATGGCCGGAAAGAAGAAGAACCAACAAGAAACTATGGTAGCAAACAAAACAAGAACCAATCGCCCAATAAATATGCAGGAGAAAGTGGAGATGGATTGGACACTCGCCGAGGAGGCGGCGGGGTGACATCGCGCGTCAGGCCAGTGCTCGAGTGGAACCCGAAAGGGAAGTGGCGAGTGAGACGTCAGTGCAAGGGTGACATGGAGCGGATCGTGTGAAGAGGAGTTGAAACAGTATAGATTAACATGGATGCAGGTGAAAAGTACAGCAGAAGACAGAAGCAAGTGGAGACGTGTGGTTGAAGCCCTATGTTCCACTAGGAACCCAGCCGGTGTACTCCTAAGTCTCAACCATTTTACTAGCCAGGAAAAGAGAAAATTTTTAAGGTTTGGCTAGGAACCCACCTCATAAATTCCACAACGCTATCGTTATCTGAACCTCAAAGCTTGAAAACCTAAATTCCACTTTGAAGGCAGATGAATTAAAATGAAATAAATTTTATACTACTATGTTATACTACTTACTCTCTTCACTGACATATGTAGCATCAAGAAGATTGCATACACCGTGATGTAAGTCATTCTGATTTCCAAGGGAGACCTTGAAGTACTTCTACCTCCAAATGTGCATAAATTGTGAATATGATTCTATGCCTTACTATTTTGCCCAAGTAACTAGTCAGAATTTGTGAGGTTTGTAATGATTCGGTCCCCTGTAGTGAGTCAGTCCAGATGAACTACTGATGATTTTAGCTCTAAGTGTTTAGTCCGCTTCCATCTAGCTAAGAAGCGCTACTGTTTGACGTGAGCTGTCTCTAATTACTAACACATCAGTCGGTAGTATGTTATGTGACTCAAAGAGGGCTGTGCTTCGGCCGACGCACTTTTAAACCTCACCCACTTCTCGAGTCGGTAGTAATCCTTTAAAAAAGGAAGTTTGGGCGTGAAGCTAGCAACCTGATATTGTGGAAACAGCATAAGTGCTGCTAAAACTTAGAAACTGGAAGTCCTATGTTCCACTTCCAGTGCAATAGAATGAAAAATAACTCAAAGAGCGATAATTCGGTATCATCTGATTACTCGGATTACCTTCCCAACATCCTCCAAGTGGATTATTGAGAGAAGTGGGACTAATTGCATACCCACACAAAACAGAAAAGAGTCATTCAGCAAAACCGTCTGATGGTTGAATAATTCTTATGTCAATGTAGTACACAACTGTCTGGTCGGAATTTCGTATTTATTCATTTTCAGCTATACCCTGTGACTGTCATGGCCAATATTCATGCTAATAATCGCATAAATTCATGGCGAAACAATATTTTTAGCTCATATTTTTGTAAACATCACATTTTGTTGTAAGATGTTTAGTGGTTAGGATATCTTCAGTTTCTAAATACTGCAGCGAGTCCATAGCTTTTTGTGGATTCACTTTATCTTAGAGCTTAAATCTTAGTTCATTGAGAATCGAAGACTAAAAGTTAGGATCATAAACAACCCTAAGCAAAGTCGTAGGAAGAAAACAAAAAAAATTACTAAACCAATGAAGTTAATGAATTGCGATCCCTGAGGACAGACGTTTGAATGACTCTTAAGCATCTAATCACAGTATATCAGGGCAGTTTGAGCCAAAGATCAGTTGTCTACATATACTTCCATTATTTCTTATCCCTTCATTTGATTGGTATTAATATTTTCCATATCTCTGAGTTGAGTTATCCCTCCTACACATGTTCGGTGTAGATTTGTTGAACAAGAAAGGATTTAATAGTCGATTTCTCCCCCCCGCATATACCTATATTATCTTCTTGAAGTGTAGTTGCATCCTAGTCTGTTGCGTGATTGTATGTTGACGCATAAATTGTGATTGTTGAGTTTTCCTCTAAACTATTCGCCTTCATAGAGTCACTCATCCTACACTTAGCTGAATTCTTATGTTCCGATAATCTGATGACCCCCAATCTACTAGTATGGACCATGTAGCCTACCTCAAAGTCATTGCAAGACATTTTGTAGATTAAGCTATCTTGTCTAGTTAGGTCAGTAGGGTTGTTCAGGCTACAGAGTTTGTCCCTAATTTCCGTGTTGTTAAGACTCCTGAGTAGGGCCAAAGATGTCCCTTTTCCTTATATGTTAAAGCTGTAGATGACTTAAACTCTTGCTTATTTATGTTACAGTTGATAGTCTCACTACTAATTTTTCTCTTATTATGAGATTTTGATTTTCCTAATGAATTTTGTGTGGTAGTTACTTAGTACCAATGCTTATTCTATCTGTTTCGCCCCATTATTTCGGTTTTCTGATATACCACTCAAGTTTTCACTCAGTTTGTTAGATACTTAAAGAAGCTGGCATTTAAAGACAACAAGTGAGATGACTTGAAGACTAAATATCTATTCGAGTATTTCGGCTTTTTTATAATAACACTGTTTTCTTTGGGAATGTAGGTATATATTCAAATGACTACCGTTCAAGGTTAGGAAAAAGCCAGGGTAAAGATTCGGGGGTTAGGACTCGGCTTTAAATATTTGTACAGATGAAATCTAATGCATGAATCGTGAATAGCTTTCGTTATCAATAATAAACTGGATTTCTCCGATTTACCGTTCTCCAATCTCGCTGTCATCATTTCAGATGACAACCCTCCATACATCGGCGTTAATTTTTACGGTCTGTATAGAGATTCTGACTGATATGATAGAGGAATAAAAGCGGTTCCAAAGTACGCATAGCAGAAATACCGTTGCAGATGGAATGATACATCACAAGACTTTCTGATATTTTGTAAGTCACACTGCTAAATATGCAACACATGGGTAATGTAGTTAAACTATCTATAGTAACCACCTCTGAACATGACCTTCGACAAACAATTAGAATTACAAGTTATATAGACAAACCAAAGTGTGTAATGTGTTCTACGCTTGTTTAACAAGTTCCTGGAACATCTACCATTTGATTACTGTGTGAATAATGGATTCATTGAAGTTACTAAAACATGTCTGTGCTGGCAAAGCTTGACAGAGTAATTGGTCTTGTGGGGGTAAGTTGAAAGGCGGGATCAAAAGTGGAAACGGATCTCAGAGTACCATGATCTATGGCAGTCTTTTTCAACAATTTCGTCACTTTTATTTCTTCTTAACTCTGGTTATTGCTAGAAGTCAGTGGTAAGATCTACTGGGGTGGTTGCTGTAAAGTAACTGGTCACGCTGGAGTATAACAACCCATGACAATAACGTAGCGGAAATATTCACAAAACTAAGCCATTCTTTTGACTTTTTCGCTCTTCTGGACGGGTTACCAGTCCGGATTCCAAGGAATGATTGTGAGAACACTTGAGAAATGTTATCCCAGTGATAAATAGGTCACCAAATGAAATGACATTCAATCACTTCGATGATTTCATGCACAAAAAGTGGATTGGGTTGACTCTAAGATTCCCGATGACAAACCAGTAAAGATAATAATAATAATAGTGATTTGCTTTATTCCTGAAAAACGGCACTTATGATACAGTGTAGAATTTTCAGCATTTTCTACAGTATTGCACCTAATTTACTCGACAACAACAGCAGAAAAAATACATTACTGGGTAAATTTAACCAAAACCGATAACATCCATCAACTTGAGGCATTAGCAGAAACGGTAGGGTCACAATGATGTACAGATGTAAAATGATAGTAACAATAATAATATTAGTATTAATAACACAAAATTATAAGATAATAGGGATAGTGAGTGTCACCATCAAATTACAAATACGGGAGTATAAGTAAGCCATTTTTTAAGCTAATTATACAGTAAGCCGTAAGTTTCACGTTTAAAACTATCTTTAAATTAAATTAAATTTTATTATAGCTTGATTCCACACAGTATTTTGGTACAAGTATGGAATTTTCATCATGTGATATCGGTAGCCCAAATTTAGCAGGCCGCCCATTGATATCAGGTATGCGTCGACTGGGGATCGAATCCCGAGGGCCATGTGCATGGTCGGCTAGCGTCCCAACCACTGTACCGCCGATGAACACAGAACGCAGGCCAAATAGGGTATCGTTGGGTTTTGATACTTGTGCGAGAGAGCATTTAATCTTTTTGTAGTGACTTCTAGTCCTACTGGATGAGATGCGAGGAGATAGTCGAGAATAGAGAGGGTGCCATCCTGAAAAATTATTTTGTCTATTCTATAAAATTTTCTATCCTTTGCTGTTCAAGTTTATCCAGTCGGCCGTTAACTTGGGTAGCTGTGCCTTAGTCTAACCATTTCACTTATCCTTAAGTTCTATTTAAACGGTGGTATAGCGGTTAGGACGTTCGCCGACCATGCACATGGTCTGGGGTTCGATCCCCAGCCGACGCACTCCTTTACCTCGCTAAGCCAGAAATAATCCTGGTAAAGAGGAAAGGTTGGGCATGAGGCTAGCAACCCCATCCTGTAAAATAAACACTGCTACAGAAACTTCAAGCCACTAGCTTGAAGCCCTATGTTCCACTGGGGAACGTGAAGGAAAAAAAAACAAAAAAAAACATCAATTCCTTAGTACACAGATGAAAATTCCCTAACTCTTTGATGCTTAATATTTTGATTTATTTCGTTTCATATTTCAAGATTCAGAAACCAATGAACCAATTGAAGATGTAGCTGTTGGATGGGATATTCGACGATCGAATGGAGCCATTGTGAATATGGGTATTTTAGCAGATCAAGTTATACAAGAGATGAATAAACTTGATTTCTATTCAATGAAACCGTTGAATTCATTCACTGATGATATACAAGGAAGATGTTTAGTTTATCGAGGGAATCAAATATATCGGTCGGATTATTTTAAAGTTAAAGTTTCTACTACACCTAAAGAGACAGAGATTGAAGGTGAGTGTCTTGAAATTCTATTCTAATCAGTTATTCGTTCGATTCTACGGTACTTATCTACCCTAATTCAACGTTGACTTATTTGAGTAGCAGTGTTCAGATATCCTATTATCTGTTGAATGAGTTCTAAGAGGAACATAGAGCCTGAACAACTCGTCTCCACTCTAGGCGGTTCTCTGATAACACCTTCATTTGGTACTACAATTGCCCGCAAGCTTAAGTTTCCTCCTCAGATGATCTCCATCGCACCTCTAATGTTCGACTCATCGCTTAAGGGTCTAGCATGTTAAAAGGTTTGAATGTTTCCTTATGAAATTTAAGGAGGACCACACATTCTGGATCAAACTATTGACCATAGGATTATAATCCGAAGAGATTACGTTTTTCAAATATTGGCTTGCAGGGATTCGACTGATTGGTTACAAGATTTCATTTTGAGTTGACATAGGTTAGAGAACCATTGAATAGCCACCAGGGAGCACTGAACAACCAATAGTTTCGTCCTAGTTTGGGGCTCTTCATCAGTACGCACGCACAAAAGACGTTCAAACCCGAGGCCTCCTGGTTACAAGGCGAGTTCATAGACCATTAAGCCACTGGGACTGTATCCAATAGCCATCCCATGAACTCCGAATTCTGCCAATTCACGACAAAGCACGACAACCAGACAGTATCATCTGTGGCGAGTATTCTTCCTCATACCCGACCTGCTGTACCCCACTGGTAGCGACTTTCCACTAGAACCCCAGGTAACTACCAAGGTGATTACGTTTTATGTAGGGAGGATGAGAATAGCCAAATACTGAGGTTACTGAAAAAATATGTAGCCTGAGTTATATTACTTGTATCATCGCCTTGCCCTTTCTAAACTGGCTTTCTTTAACTGATGCATTTTTACTATCTTCCTAGACAACTTATTCAATGCTAACTTCAAAATGAAGTGAGCTTTAGAGTCAATGAGATTTACTGTTTCTCCTGATGATCATTATTGCGAATGATTCTTTTCGCAATTTTTCCTATTCTCTCGTCCACCTGTATTAGTTTCATTGAGTTGGGTGTTGACCTTTTGACTTTATAACCTTTTCTCTTTTGCTTAATGGGCCTGTTCTTTATCAACATGTCCGTCAACTGCTAATTGATCCGAGTACAAGCTTTCTAGAAATTCTCTGTTATGAAAGGTTACATATCATGTACTACAATAATTTATGTTCGTGGCTACAAGGATTAAACGGAAGTCCACTTTTACTGAAATACTGTTTACCACGTTTAAAAAGTCAAAGCGTTGTCCATTAGAAACAGAATCTCTGACTGAGATTACGGTACATCCAGTTGATGAGTCTCGGTTGGAGTGATATGCACATTCTGGATTCCACTGTAAGTCACTAACAATTAAATAATATTATATCATTCTCAAGATATCGTAGAAGCTCTTGTACTCAGAGTTGACATATCAACAAAGACGGAACATTTTGATCTGTTATGATCAGTTCGAAAGTGGAAGAGGAACATTCAAAGTAACTTCAACATTTTCAAAGATGATAATTACATTAATAGCAATAAACTTCTCTGTTATTTGTTGAGAAAATTTTCACTGACCACATATATTTTTGTAGACAGTTTTATTTTTCCTATATTTCAAACATTACTACTTATTGAGGTTATAAGTAATATGATAACTTGTTTCCTATTAAATTTATTCTAGGTGATGGTCGAATTGTAGTACGTTTAGTCAATATCCCGCTTACAGATCGTAGAATTATTTTGGAACCAGGTGAAATAGAGTCAATCCAATGTGTTGGAACAGGTAAGTGTGCATATAATCTTATATAATGGTATTTTCTTTTCTTTTTTTAACATGAATTTCATCTTAGATGTATTCAGAAAAACCACCAATTTCTAAGATGGATGAATGTTTTAGTTGGTTTGGGGCAGTTGATAGGAAGATCTGCCTGATTTAAGTTTCATAGCCTTATTGAGCTCCAATAGCTTCAGTTGTATGTAGAAGGCGAAAGTGTAAAGCAAAATTGAGATTATATGGAGGATTTTCATCATGAGCTGACATCAGTTAGAGAACCACTGGAAAACCTGGGAGTACTGGACAGCTGTTTCGTCCTAGTTTGGGACTCTTCAGCAGTACGCACCCACCGGGATTCGAACCCAAACTAGGACGAAACAGCTGTCCAGTACTCCCAGGTTTTCCAGTGGTTCTCTAACTGATGTCAGCTCATGATGAAAATCCTCCATACAATCAAACAAAATCCCTACCAAACCATTACTTGAAAATTGAGATTAGTTAGAATGCGATAAGTAACTTTAAATGCTGTACTAATATCAAACTTATGCTCACTGTCTACAACGTGTACTAACACAGAGCTACGAATAGACCTTGTTTATCCCTTGCTTAACCATGCAAGATGATGTTAGGAAATACGATGATAAACCTGAGTAACTGTACCACTCAATGTCACTGTCTCGACAGGAGTAGTCAAACTGGTAGCTACACATAGACGTAGTTTGTCCTTATTTCTCAGAAGCAAAATCGGGGTAGGGGTTGTGGAGAGACAAGGTACTTCTGGTGAATTCAAAGCTCTTTTAACTGCATTCTTCAGGCGCTGCGTTAGTATTTTGCATTGTTAACACTGGGGAACTGTAGTTTTATGAACAATGGTTTTATAGTCGCCTTTATAGGCTTGCTTGCTTTGGTGTTAAATTCTTATTTTTCTCAATGAACTTATCTGGATGACCATTTTTTCCGAAATAATTCTCTGAAAATCTTAAGCTCCTCATTGAGACAACCTTTTGAGTAGATCATCCTAGCTATAAGAACCAGACACTTTACCAAGTTACGTTTATATTTCAAAGGTGCAAAACTAAAAGATGAAGGTACTGACTGGTCGTTACAGGTTTCTTATTCACACTCTTTCTTAGTGTGCCATCTTCTTTCCCGGCCACGAAGACGTATATGAAAGAGATACTTTCATTAGTTTCTCTTTCTTAAGTGAAGTTTATCGTTGAATGCACATCCTTAAATTGGTGGCGGATGTTCGTTGCTTCATTCTGGTTTCTCATAATCAAAAATGTGCGTCGGTGGCACAGTGGTTAGGACTCTCGCCGACCATGCACATGGTCCGGGGCTCGATCCCCTGCCGGCGCACACCCGATATCTATGGTCGGCCTGAATTTGGGCTACCGATATGCATGCTGAAAATTCCACACTTGTACTGAAAATACGGTGTGGAATCAAGCTGTAAATCAAAATAAAAAATAAAATATATCAACAGTAGAATTCCAAATCATTAATTATTCCTTTCAGTGGTTCATTCTCTAACTTAGCGAGATTGTAATGACCATATTGAATGGTGGTCACTGGCAAATAACCAGTATCATGTATCTAGTCCTCAGTATTAGCGCTGAATGAGTTCTGTCACTTAAGTTTGTAGTTTGATCACTAATCTAGGAAAGTCACCTCTGATCTAAGTTTTTCACTCGTATCTGCAACCATGTATGAATGTTTCAGATATTCTCTGAGCCGAATGACTTAAACCTCGAGGTGTCTGTTATCCTTCTACAGGTGATAACATATTTTCAGTATAGAGAAAGTGACTACATGGACTGATTCCAGTTCTATTTAGATCCTTTCTAAGAATATACTTTAGTAGATGCAGGTGTTGACAAACACCCAGTATACGATGGTACAACAGTTCGTCTACTTTATTCTTCAACTCCTAATGTATTTATTCAACGTGTAGCAGAGAATAGTTAGTAGGCGAGGATGGGACAAACATTATATCGCCAGAAAGTAAATATATTTCTTGATTGTTACTGCTGAGAACCGAGGAGTTCCTGACTAACCACAGATCGTGAGTCAACAACCGGACTTTCAAACAACAGTGTGCCAAATTACGTGGACGTTTGACCTTCATTTTAATCAGTTGAGTTAGGCAGTGAAGGTCGGTATTCATTGTGGAATGATAACGAAAGCTATAGACTTAACAGGTTAGGTATTTATTCACTGTTATAATAAGAGGTTTCTGTCCAGACTAAACAGAATAATTATAAGAAACTCACCTGTCGCATTTAACTCTAAATTTAATATTATAATAATAGCTATATTCTGAACAATATTTATAGAATGTAGAGAATTTTCAGCGGAAATTATAATACTAATAACTGACAGTAAGTCTCATGACACATTACTGTGTCTGACTTGAAGCTAAAACTAATCCCTTGTCATATTTGTTCTTTGCCTTCTTCCAGAAGTGCACAGCATTTGCTTGAAAGCCAGTCAAAAGAGGTGCAAGGGGTACACTTTTTCACCCAATGACATAATAATAATAGCTGAATGCTCGAGGACTGCGGGTAATTAGGTTTTTTCCTCAGGTTGTGGCAATTCGTACTACTGAAAATCTCAGGAACAGTTATCTCATGTTTGGGGGATTTTATCATGAGTTGATATCAGTTAGGGAATCATTGGAAAACCAACTTTGGCGTACTGGACAGCTTGAGAATTGATCTGATGCCCACTAGCGACTGACCATATTCAGGCAGTCAACCTGGGGTTTTAGTGGTAAGCTGTGACCTGTAGGGTGCAGCAGGTTGAAGGTGAGGCAGTAACTCATCGAAGAAGACATTGCGAAGTGGTCACGCTATGTCATGAATTGACAGAAGTTAGAATTCACGGGATGGCCATTGGACCGGGTCCCAGTGGCCGCTGAATTGTCTACGAGATAGCTCACCTTGTAACCAGAAGGTCCTGGGTTTGAATTAGGGCGGTGGGTGAGCACTGATGAAGAGCCCCAAACTAGGCTGACGAAGCCACTGTCCTGTACTCCCTGGTGATTTTCCAATAGTTCTCTGACTGATATAAGCTCATGATAGAGTTCTCCAACCAATCAAACAAAATCCCTCCAAAAACCGACACTTGAAAAGTTATCTCATGTATTCAGACGCATTGCCACTCTTGATTCTACTTTTTCTCAAGTCTAGTAGAAACTTACGAATCCGAAGGTTGTAACCATTTTAAATAATCGGTGGAGCAAAAGGCACCATTGGAGATTATATTTTAATAGGTTAAAACGAGACTAATAAGAAAAGTTACACGCAAACTATAGTGAATGGGGTATTTCGGTAGCCCAGATTTTAAATAGGCCATCTGTTCACCATATTTATCATAAGATCCGACAATTCGCAGCGAATTAGCCCCAGCTACTACTGTCTTTCATTCCTTTGCCTTCTGAAAGGTAAATAGGGCTTCAATAGTGGGCCTTGATGTTTCAGTAGCCGCGTTGTTTTCAAGAGATAGGGTTGTTAACCTCACACCCAACCTTTCTTATTTACTGGACTTACTACCTGCTAGGCAAGGCTTAGAAGTGATATAGGGCGTCATGACAGAAAGTGGAATGTAAACGTAGATCGCAACGGAAAGTGAGCTACAAAAATTCATGCATTTGATGTCGTTAAATCATCCATCGTCTTTTCTTTAAATCTTTTTCTCAATCAAATCAAAAAATACAGATGCTCAAACTGGTGAAGAATTGACCTATCTAACCTATGGTTGGGATTATTACTATACCATGCCTGAAAGCTCACTGCCTATTCAAGGTTCCCTCGGTCCTATGGTGAAGAGAGTTGAAGAATCCCCATCAGGTTATTTGTATATTACACCAAGTAGTGAATTAAATGACAAAGGTGAAGCTTATCTACGATGTCGTCTATCGAATGGAACAGCTGTCTACTCATCACCATACTATCGATTGGTTTCAGAAGCTGATGCTGAAGCAGGCGAAGTTATTCCAGGTAGGTTATTCATTCCCTTGAGATCTTTTTTTGTTGTTGTATGAAATCACTTACTGTATCGTAAAGTATCCTAGATTATTTACAAATTTTACAAAACAGAAAAAACTCTGGGGAACGAACCAACAAGCAAGAGCCGATCGCTGAACAAATATGTAGTGAAAAATGGAAATGGGCCGGGTATATGTTAAGGAGGCTGTCGAATGACATCACGACGAGTGGGTCGTTGGTACGAGGGTGACATGGAGAGGACCATGTGAGGAAGAGATGAGAGAGTTTGGGAAGTCGTGCTGATATCCAGCCGAAGAGGATGGTAGAAAATAGAAGAAAGTGGAAATGTGTTGTTGAAGCCAACTCTATGTTCCACTTGGAACTCAAGGGAACAATAGTAATAATAATAATACACCTTCACATGTCCTAAAATCAGGCGGCACGGAAGGTCATCCCAACAATTACACTTCTCCATAACTATGAGATATTCCTTATTGATTTCAACATTGCCTGTTAAATCAGATTAACAGACAATTACTTGCTGATATTATGGTTGGGTAATTTATTCTCTAACCATTTGAGGAAAATGTCAGCTTATGGATTGTCTTCTATAGTCACCCGTGAAATTATCAGTCGAATTTCAGCTTTGTCATCTAGTTTTCTGGACTGATTATAGAAGAAGAAGCTTAGTTTAATGTGCATTGTACTGAATAAAGAAAAAAGTGAAGAAGAGTACTAGGAAAGACAAAAGAAAATTCTACGGTACACTGAAAACTGAAGCAGAACAGACCATGGGCGAAAGAAATCTCAGAACATTATATCAGGTGTTCAGGTGTCGTTCCAAGAAGAGATCAACACAAATGAAAAGAATAGATGTTCAATGGGAACCTAATTATCAAGGAAGAGAAACAAAGAAAGCCGTAAGCTGATCACTTCAAAAGGACTGTTGAATCGATCATATTCGACAGCTACATGACAACGACACATGCAAAATGATCCACAACAGAAAACGCAGTAAAGACAGGAGTAAGAGAAGGCTGCCTATTACAATCGATAATATTCCTAACTGTGGTGGATACGGTTACGCGGAAGACTGTGTCAAGCAAGAAGACAAGAATACACTGAACCCACAAGTAGAATCTAGAAGATCTGGATTTCGTCAATGATTTATATCAAATGTCATACGAACTCGAAGACTTACAGGGAAAAACCAGCAAGTTGGCAGAAAAGGCAGACAGCAAATAGAGGACTTCAGGTGAGCACAGAGAAGATGGGAATGGTGAAGATAACCAGCCAATAACAACAGAAAGCACCAATCACTATCAACGGGAGAAATTTGCAGGAAACCGCTTCCTTCGCTCACTTAGGCAGCATCTCCTCAACTACAGGCGATGGAATAAATGAGGATGTCTAAGCCAGTCAGGACAGAAAAGGCAAGACAGACCTTTTTCACTCTGAAATCATTTTGGAAATCTCCTGCACTCGGCATAAAGAACAATGTCAATGTTAGGTGAGTCAGTTCTTCTATATGGGTCAGAAACTTAGCAAGCGAGTCACAAAAAGCATTTCCAGTAAGGCAGTGCGAACTTTTACCAGCGCCCGCCTTCGCTCCATACTAAAGATCAGATGACCGACCAGAGAGAAATCTAAGAAGAATCTCTGGGAACGATCCAACTAAGAAGCTATTACTCGAGAAATATTCCAAAGAAAATGGTGATAGATTGGTCACACATTCTAAGAAGAACGTCGGATGATATCGCATGCCAGGCCCTCTGATGAAACCTCAACGGGAAATGACGAGTTGGGCATGTGTCAGAGGTTGACATGGAGGAGATAAAGTGAGGAATAGGTGGAAGCTTATGGGGCACCGTGGAGCCAGCTAAAGAGGACTGCGGGTAACTGGACGAAATGGGGATTCTGTGTTGAAACCTTCTATTCCACTCGGAACCAATAGGAATAATAATAACAATATATTTTCGATAGTGGGAATTTAGATTTCCTCAGAATTGTCCTTTTTAATGTAAATCAATGAGATGCTAAAATGCACATGAAAGTGCGTATTAGAAGGAGAGAAGATGACCTCAAAACATCTGGAATTTAATTGGAGATCCATGGAAGATACTTAGTTACCGATATCTTAGAATTTTCTTTATCTGACCTATTATGAAACGTCCATTATTCCACATACTGCTTTCAGTATGAATTAGTTTTAAACATTAGCCGAAGGCTGGAATGGTTTAACAGTCCTGTGAGGAGCATAAGTGTAGGGCAGAGATCACACAAGTAGGAAAATCTAAACTATGAGTGTTGTAAATTAGAAAACTGAGTTCCTGACCGTCGGTTTCTAGGAATATGATTGGTCTCAAACTACATTTAATAATGAAACGACACCAATTAGAAAAATATTGAATATCAGTGAGTACTGGAAAGTTGTATTCGCCCATAACTTATCCGGGAATCTATCCCATTACTATCACTTGGATCCTGCTGGTCAATACTTCCCACTAGAAATTTGATCCCGCTTGCAGTCATGGCCGTGTGCTGCTGAAAGTCTTGAAACTATAACAAAACAGCTGTCCCATATTCCCTGGTTTTCAGTGCTTATTTATCTGTTGCCAGTTAGTCACGAAATCCAACTAAAAAGATGTAAGCTCAGACAGATAAGCTGTACAACGTTAATGCACATGAGGAGTATTCTCTGTCCTACTTTATGAGTAATTCTTTTCTCACAAGATTACTATTATTATTGTGATAATTTTTATTAATATTATTGTTGTTTTCACTGACAGTTAAACTGCTGAAGAGGACGTACTATGTTGGAAATTTCAACAACTTAGAGACTATTAATTTTAGTTAGACATCACATTAAGAGATGGAAAAGCATAGAAATGTACTTGTCCAGACTGCAATAATTAACACTCTCATACAACAAATAAAGCAGAATACGCGTGAAAATATTATGGCTCCTTCAACATAATCATCTTCGGCTAACTCTTCGAATTAGGTGAAGCCAAGCGGTAAATGATGTCAGTCTAAACTATGAAAGAGGGTGTGGAATGCCTAGCTAGGTACTTTAGAAAGTCATTAAGCATTGACTCTTCGTGATCTCGTCCAAAGTCATCCTGGATTGCCTTAAATGTTAATGGTACATTAACAATTTCAGAAATGAAAACAGGCAGCACATTGGAACCAATTCGATTGATCTTGAACTATATTACCTAGAGTGCTTTACCGTCAAGTGCTCATGTTTGAGTTCGTTGGATGAGTTAACTGATGACCCTGGGCGGTGATTTTTCAGAGACAACATCAACGCTGTCAGTACAGAATTTTAATTTCCATGCGAAATTCAACTAAAATAGGCAGCTTACCACTCTCAAGACCGTAAAACAATTGCAATATTGTTCATAATCTTTACATATCCTTCTGAATGACTGTTTAAAATATGATTTAAGCCAATTTGAACTAATTCAGCTTCTTGATCTAGATCTAATCCGAATACACCGCTGATACGCTCAGCTCTAAACGAGCGAAGTGATCATCTGGTGTCTATGGATTACTTTGATCTGACCAGGGGGACAATAGTGGATGGCATGGACCACTTCCAACTACTCATATCAACTGATCAGTAGTATATATCATCATGTTATTTCACTTGTTTTGTTTAAAAATATCATTCATATATATATATATATATCTAATAGGTTGCTTGCATAATTTGATCTGAATTCTTCTTTTGGTTTTTGAGCTGTTCAGTGGAACACGGAGTGAATTTTCATCTCGAACTGTGTAATTTGCAAAGTGTCAACTTGGTTCCCTCTTTTAACTTTTTGTGATAATAAAAATGACAAGATAGTAATAATAATAATAATAGTAATAGTGATAATGATAACTTAACCAAACCTACTAAAAATAATAAGATTTTTTCTTATCTAGTATCTCCTGCTGCAAGATATCTTATCACTGTGCACGGTTTGAATGATGACGGAAACCTGTTGATCAAGCCAGAGGATAAGGTTTCCTTAGAATGCAGTGCTATTGGTATGTGCTTGTTTTTCATTCATTCATGCATAATGCTATTTTAGTATGCTTTTTTTAAAAATTTTAGTATTACGACTACCTTTTAGTTGGTGATAGGTTGTACACCTTTGAAGTTGACTGGAAGTGGTTAGAATCTGTTAGCTGGTATGGGAGCTTTTTCTCTCCCTTGCTGATGATGAAGGTCAGCAAACATGAAATTGATTTTCTAGCAATTCTGCCGATGTCCCTATCTCCCTCTTTCTCAGGACGAACCACTGTACACTGAATTACTATGTAATTTGGTGATTACATTTCATACTTGGACAAAAGATTCAGCTTACATGACGAAAATAGAAGTTGTAGGCGGACAATTGTTAGTTGTTTAGAGGCAGACGACGAAACATTCAGGCATAAGTTTCTTACTTATTTACACCAGTCAGTAAGCTACCTATGTAACTGTGGAGGGATTAATTCTACCTTATGAATTGTGACACAAAATGGTCACTTTTTTAGTGTATCGAAAGGGAGTTTTCACCTAGTGTCTTAAACAAAATGCCAAAAGGTTAAGAAAAGGTATTTTATAGGGTTTGTAGGTGTTAGTCAGTAAAGAGTTTCGAGAAAATTAGAAACCGTATTTGTTTTCTTAGCGATGCACTTACATCTTCCAGTAGATGATGGGTGTGTATACATTTGTTCCTGGAGTTGAGGTAATCTGATTGTAAGTGAATGGGTCGTTGACTGAGCACACACCGAAAGATGTGTACAACGCCAAAAATGAGGAATTTAAAGCATCCATAATGCTTCCATACGACGAAAGAACCGTAACGATTAAAATCTACTTGTTATGATTTTAATGGAAGAGACTGATCTTTGAGTTCTACTGTAGAGCTCTCGTGAAGTTTCTGGAGACACTCACAGTCACAAAACACTCCAAAGACAGAAAAAAGACGATTTTTTGTGACTGGAATCTGTGGGTGGTTACTTCCAGCAATAATAACAGCAAAAACTGAAAATTACCTCAACATTACCGTTAGCCAGCCACGCAGATCAGACAACTTTCTAGCACAAAAAAGGTAATGTAGAACAAAATTAGTCAGCTCAGCTCAATTTCAACCATGAGAAGTAAATAAGAATCAGGTCGAATATTCCTAACTAAGTGAGATCGAGACCTCCTTCCACAAAAATCACACACACTAACGTTTACGGCAAACAGTCCGAGGTTAGAATGACCTTTATTCACCCAAACGAAACAGTGTCGTAAGACGACATATTATCAATATCACCACACATCCACGGAGAGAGGCATTGAAATTCGAGATTAAATTGGGAATGGACAAAGACAAACGCCGAAATAAGTACAAATATTTTGATTAGGTAGTTTAGATGGGATTTTCCAAACAGTCATTCCTTTTAACAGGAATCTCTTAAACTTGGCATGGAATTCGTAGAAAAACATGGAGTAAAAGTGACATTCAATCAGTCATAAACTCGGCTAGAAACACATTATGTCTGATGAAACTTTTTCAACAAAATAATTTAATTTATTTAATATCCTCTCATTGGCTGTCAGTTCAAATACACAGGTAAAAGTAGTAGAACGGAGTCAGTTAGACTAGCGGAGCACAAAAGCCTAGCACAATGTAGATTAGATGACCCTAATAATAAGATAAGAAATCTGGAGAATAGTTCAGTTATAGCGCCACATGCAATAGCACACAACCATACAATAGGCTGGATGGAATAAGATGACAGTTCTAAAGTCTGATATAACAGAGCGGAGGGAGAGATTGGTAACGGAAGCTCTATTTATCTAATCCAACTGGAAATACCTCTAATAGAAGTGATGCAATACCTGTCCAGTTGGACATTTGGAAAACTTCACAACCACTGGGTCGAATCAGAAGAAATGATGAGAACTATAAAATTAGAGTTTTAAAAGTTGTGTATCATAACAGTTGTGATGGGATTATGGACAGTAAATTATGCTTGAAATGTTATCCAGTAAATAACACTGTTTCCCTGCTTGTGATATATCTAATAATTAAATTCACATGAAACTGCACTCTACCACAGTGCCCAGATTTTACGTAGATATTAAGGAAAGGATTGAGGTGTTAACTGAGAGTAAGACTGTCTGAGTGGGATGAACCTAGGTGATTATTGAAGGAATAACCTATCAAAAACACCTACATATATACAAATAAGAATATTATATCTCATCTTTCTAATCATTTTATACGTATATATATCTATAGATACCACAACACGTCAGCCAGCTGAGAATGTCTTATACGTCTGGGAATTCCAAGCAGCTAATGGTCATCCACCGAAAGGTGATTTCCAATTCGCTGAAAATCAAGTTTCAATCGATAATTTGGATACAGCAAGTGGGACTATTAAAGGTCGATGTAAAGTCTCCCAAAAAGGATCAAATAAATGGGATAGTTCACCTGACTTCATAATCCACTTGGAAAGACATCCTGATGAAGCAGAAATTATTCCGCCGATAATCGATAAAGATGTTGATGACGAAAAGCGAAAAGAGTACGAAGAAGCTATTCGACAGAAAGGAGTTAAAGAAGCTGATGGTTAGTACTTATAAGGGAACTATTTTTTTCTCAGTCCTTGAATTCTATGTGGAACATACAGCTGTAGGTTTGAAGGCTTTAAGTTTCAGTTGCCATGGTATTTTTTTTTAAATGGTGGGGATTGCTAACCCCATGCAAAACCTTCCTTCTTTACCGGACTAACTACCGTTCAGTGAACTGGACGAGTTTAAGGAGAGTTTCTTCTGGGAGTCGAACCCTGGTCCACCAATTTATCTTGTACTATCACTTCTGTGATTTTTCAACCACATTCATCACTTGCAAAATTACACAGTTCGAGGTTAATCTCCACAACGGTTTCCTTTATAAGCTCAAAGTGTTCAGATCATTAATATGTGATCTATCTGATGTCTCAGGTTAGAGCCAACAACAACAAAGCCAGTGAAATAACATAATGCTGCATGCTACTGATGGTTATGTATGCCTGAAAGTGACTCGTTTAAACTGAATTCCCCTGTCAGTGGTTTACCTGTTCGTGAGGCATACTCAACTGTCTACAGGTATATTTATAAATAGTTAGGGTTTTGAGAAATAACGACTGATATTTGTTGTACTGTCTAGTGACTCTCTCACCTTTGTTTTTTATTCCTTTACGTTCCCCCAGTGGAACATAGGGCGCCTTCAAGCTAGAGGCTTGAAGTTTCGGTAGCAGTGGTGGTGATTTTTATGGGATGGCGTTGCTAGCCTCATGCCCAGCCTTCCCATTTTACCAAGTATGTCGGTGGCCGGGGATCGAACCCTGGACCACATGAGGCGTGGCCGGCAAGAATTCTAACACTGTGCCACTGTCGCAGACGACTCACTCACCTAGTGGACAATAATCGGTGCTGGTTTCCATTCTCAATAGGAACCTCGACAGTCACTTGGATACAGGTACACCTAGTTGATAAGTCTGGGGAAGGACTAGGAACACGCTTTCTAAATTCTGCTACAAGTCACCATTAACTAAATAACACCTAGATGATAGGTAATCTATGGAATGATCTCATAAGCTGTGTCTTTCAGGGTGTAATTTAAGCCTTTTTGTTTACTGTTCAAGAATTTCAAAATAGTTAAAAATGAACAAATATTAATTATTTTAATGCTTACTTTATTTTCTGATACTTCTACGACGAAAAGATGATCGCGTTGTCGTCACTGTGGACGGATTGAATGATGCGGGGCATCTGATTGAAGCTGGTGGTGCTGAAAAGACACTGGATTGTAATGCTGAAGGTAAGATTTGTTTTTCTTCTATGTCTTCTGTTTTTCCTATTCATACATTTGATCAGTTACAGGACTTCATCAAGAGCTTGGAGTTCTGGAAAGCTGTTTCGTCCTAGTTTGGGACTCTTCATAAGCACTCACTGACCACAGGGCTTCGAACTCAGGACCTTCAGGTTACGAAGCGAGCTCGTAGACCATTCAACCAGTGGGACCAGACCCGATGGTCTATGAATTCCAACTTCTGTTGATTCGATAGTGCTACCACCAGCCAGTGTCAGATGCAATTATCTATCCTGTCGCTTGACTTGGTAGACCCCTCTGGTTACAACCTCCCAATAGAAATGTAGCATCGTCACTAGATGAAGTTTATTTGAATAAAACGTTACACATTTGCGCGATTCATTTTTGTTCTGGTCAAGTCTAGTCACATATCTAGTTCTTCATTCAACTTATACGGAAAATGGAAAAAAATAAATGGTCGGATGAAATGAAAGAAAAATAGTTTTAAGATTAAGGGGGACACTAGATTTGATAACTTCCTGTTACTTAGAGACGTATGTCTGGTTGAAATTGACTTTTTTCACTTATCCAAACGAATACCTACTGAGAGTGGTTATTGTTGTTATTGTTAATTTTGTGTTGCCATTATTTTCTTTTAGACATAGGTATCCAGCAGCATATTGACGTTTCACTCTCTTTCCCGAAGTCTTTACTAACTTGCTCCACAATCGCCCAGAAGCTTGTAATTCCTGCATACACGATCTCTTTTTTAATCTTACCATCTAACGTTTATTATTATTGTTTCCTTTATTTCCTAGAGGAACATAAGGCTTCAGCCATACGTCTCCATTGCATTCGGTTATCTGCCAACGTTTTCACCTGGCTCCACGTCTGCCCACATGCTTTCATCTGCTCTTCATATCACCTCATCCACGATCCCCTCACACTCACGACCAACTAACTCGATACTTCTCATTCGGGTTCCACTCGAGCAATGGCCTGACGTGTGATGTCACTCACTTGATGGTTTGTTTTCGCAGAGTATGGCCTCCAACCCACCTCCACCTCTTCCTGCAAAATTGGTCCCTGCTGGGTTGGTTTGTTCATCGCCAGACATCCCTGTTGGTGATCTTTTATGGCCATCTGATCTTGAGCGAATTGTTGAGCGAAGACAGTTGTTGATGAAAGTCGGTAGTTTGTTTGAGGTTCTCTTCATGACGCGCCAAGTCTGTGATCCGTATGGTAAATAGCGCTGACTTCACATTGGAGTTGAAAATCCGGGTCTTGCTTTTCATGCTGAGTGCTGTTCATCTCCTCCACACAGCCTTGAGAGAAATGAAAGATTGCCTTGCTTTCCTGATCCTCGCTTTCATATCCTCATCAGTTCCGTCTGCCTGTAGTTGAAACGATGCTTCCCAGATAGGAAAGTAGGTAGAGGAGGTTGCTTTTTCCAGATTTCTCCCATTTATGCTGGTTGTTGCTGTTGGCCAGGAATCTTCATCACCTCTGTTTTCTCTATGTTCACCTGAAGTCCTATCTTTGATGCTTCTTCTGCCAACTTGTTGCTTTTCACTTTCATATCTTCCAGTTTGTTGGAAATCAGACATATATCCGATCAGACCCTTCAGGTTTTTTGTATGGGTCTGTTTTACGCCTGTCTCCTCATTGGCCACCGTCTGTCGCATTATCCAATCTACCGCAGTCATCGGAAATAGTAGTCAGCCTTGTCTTACTTCACCATCGAACGTAGAACTTGTCACTTCCTATTCGGTTTCCACTCTTAGGTCTGGTGTGTGTGTATTTTTAATCTACATCCATTTCTTTACTGGATGAAAAACTATAGATTAGTTTGTTTCGAGAATTTCGTGTTGATTATCCTTTCTGGCCAATTGGTCATCTGATTTTTAATATAGAAGAAAGTCAGCTGTTTATAAAGGTCTGGAATCTGTTGGAAATGCTTGCGGTGATATACTCTTCATGTCTTTGAATCATATAGAATTACTGACCAACGTGACATTAGTGTCGAAGATCCAGTTCTTTTTCCTCATCCTGTATGCAAAGGATTTCTACACAGATATCAAATTAACAAACGCCTGTTTCATTTTTCCGACCCCATCTTTGACATCTTCATCACTTCCTTCTGTTGTCGGCGATGGGTGCTTTTGTTTGTTGTTGTTACTGTTGGTTAATTATCTCCTCCGATTGAAGTCTCGTCTTCGCTGTCTCCAGTGCTAACCCGTTGGTTTTCCCCTGCATATCTTCTAGTTTTACCTGTGAAGTGACTTTATTGACCCAACATTTACCCATCCCCTCTTTGCCCAAAGTCTCTAACGTGATCCAATCCATCCGTATTTGCTAAATAAATAATGACTTCGTTTTGATAATCATTTCAATAAAGCATTTCATTTATTTCATTTTTTTATTTTCCTTTCTTTTTCTAGTTCAAGAAGGCGTAAATTCTGAAATACTCGCTTATAGTTGGGAATTAATGGATGCCTATGGAAATCCTGTCTCTCTAAGTATTTTAGCCGATAATGTCGTGATAACAAGCAGCGATGGAGTATTAAAGCTAAACGGATTACGTGTTAGTGAGTTATCTCAACGGGGTGACTTGAAAGGACGATGTACTGTTAAAGTGAAGATAACAAAATCAATTGAAATGCCAGATGGTACACAGAAAGAGAAAACTGAACAATTGATTTATAAGTCAAATATGTTTGGTGTAGCAATTACAGAAAGTGGTGATTATACTGGAACTATCGGTGGGC